GGTACCAGGTACGAGTACCTTGGTACGAGTACCTGGTATGAGCAAGTTTACAGTGTACTTTGATAACCAGATTATAGCGTTTAACATCCAGATTATAGTGTAGCGTTTAAAAACCAGAATGGTGTGTTCTAGAAGTAAGAATTCTATACTGTATTGCTTCACCGACTCATCCGCTCGTCCGGATGTGCGGCGAGATTGAAAGCATGGCGCAATGCCGCTGAGACGCACCCTGCCAGGATCATCGCCTGAGGCTGGGATCGAGGCGTGTCTCACTAAGGAGGATGCGTCAGAGCTGCAGTACAAGGCTCTAGTTGCCTAGCAGCCGCCCCTTGAGCCGGCAACGGAGATCCGAACAGCTGCAGTTGAGTCACGCTCTGAGACATGGCCAGGATATATAGGTGGCGGGTCTGGGTGATATTAAAGTCACATTTTCCCACAACCCAAAAAAAAAACATCATCATGTGCATTCCTACTTTTTTCAGAGGCACCCAAATGCCCCCCGAGGACGCTGGACCCCGAATGTCCATGGCCCAGGCTCGAAGCATGTCGCGACCGACTTCTCGAGCCGCTTCTGTCGCGTCCAAGGATAGCGCCGTGCCTGATATTGCGCTGACTACTGCACAGTCTGCGGTCCAGACAGCTCAGCCGTCGGTTCTGCAGCCCGGACCCTCTCACAAGTAAGCGAGAGAGAACGATTCAACACAACAAAAGTCAACACATCAAAAGTCAGAGAGACAAGCAGTAATATATAGACATTAATATTTTATTATTTTAACATGTACTGGTACGAGTAGTGTATTATTGGTTTAGTGGTAGTTATTGTCGTTGTGGTGTGTTGTTGTAGAGTCGTTATTTCATCTGAAGTTTTCTTACTTCCAGTTGAGTTTAAAAATCGACTTTGAATCGACTTTGAATCGACTTTGGGAGGAATTAAAATAAAATAAAATAAAATAAAATAAAATAAAAAGAACCTCTCTAGTCCCAAATAAAGTTTGATAAGCTGATAAGGAGATGAGACTTACAGGACACTAGTGGTGAGTCTAGATATCACTACAATGATGATCCTTTTTACTCCCACTATCTTATATTCTGATTGTGGCCTTTTTCTCACCAAGAACTGATACCGTTACCGTTATTCTGTTACCGTTATATCCTTACTGTTACCCTTACACTAGTTACCCACACCCTTATACCACCACATCAACACACTCTAAAACATCACCTTACCAGTACTAACCTCTTTATACACCCTATCCCCAGAACCAACTCTTACTCTTAACCACCACTTTCTACTTTTGCAATGGACACAAACGTGGACCTCAAAACGGAGTTTGAGAAACGATCCAAGGCGCTGGGCATCAAGGTCGGCGGCCCGCTGCCCAACAACAACAAGGAGAACGAACACAAAAAGTTCTCCTCCCGGTTCCTCTCCATCCGAGCCCCTCTCAACAACCAGGTCCGCTCGGTCTTCCAACAACTGGGCTCCTACGTCATCCTCGCCTACACCAGCAACTCCATCGACGTCTACTTTTCCGACTCCCGACACGCAGCCATGGCCTTCTCGCGGTTTGGAGGAGCACGGGCTTGCGCGTTCCTTCCCGTGGATGATACCGTGGTGAAGGCCCTGGGACGAGTGGGTGTTCGTGTCCACGAAGGACCGGTGACCTGTAAGCCCCAAGAGTACAACTGGTACGCACTTGTCGGAGAGGTCCGCATGGTGGACACCTGTCCCGACACGGGCGACCTCAAGCTGGAGTACTACCTCTCCACCCGCGCCTACGAGGCCCTCCGCATGGACACTGACCTCATGAAGCAGTCGTCCACGTCCCGCAAGGAGGCCCAGCGGGAAAAGAACATCGTCACCACGGCGGTCGTGCCGCGCAAGAACACCATTGACCTCAACCGAGTCGCCAATGGCCTGGACACCCGGACCACCCTCATGATCCGCAACATCCCCAACAAGTTCACCCAGAAGATGCTTCAGGACTGGGTCGACGAGACTTCCAGAGGCACCTACGACTTTTTGTATCTCCGGATGGACTTCCGGAACCGTTGCAAGTGAGTACAGCCTATCTGACTCTGAAATGACTCTACTAACACAGCGTGGGCTACGCCTTCATTTCTTTTGTATCGCCCAACCATATCATCAAGTTTGCCAACGAGCGCTGCAGCAAAAAGTGGGGCTCGTTCAACTCTGGCAAAATCTGCGACCTCACCTACGCCAACATATGAGTATACCTTGCTTGTGATTCCCCCTCCAGCGATACCCGCTTGATACCCATGTACATAAAACTAACCCAGCACTCAGGGCAAGGAATGTCTGATTGAAAAGTTCCGCAACTCGTCGGTCATGGACCAGGGCGAGAGCTACCGGCCCCTGCTGTTCCACACGGACGGTCCCCTTGCCGGCCAGCCCCAGGAGTTCCCTGCGCCCAACTCGATCAACAGGAAGATGCGGTCGATTGCCAACCTCCGGCAGATTGGGATTTTGGACCATTAGGTTGCCGGGTCGCGGGGTGGCCCGGGTTTGTAGCTCTAAGGTAGCAGCTAATGATAATGCATTTGATGGATGGTTGGAAGGTGGAGGTGGATGTTTAGACTCTACAGGTTAGGTGGAATGGCTCAGAAAATAACCTTGCGGAAAGATAACGGTGGTTTGGAAGCTATCGTACAGGCACAGAGCCATTAATGGCAAGTAAGCTACTTCCCGCTGAACTCAGTCTGGGCTGATGTGTGTCTCAGGGAGGCGGAAATTTCATAATTGACGCACCCATGCTGATCCATGCAAAGGATATGGGGTTGCTTGCCATTGTCAAGAAATGAATTAAATCGTAGAAAAAAATGTAAACCGCATTAAAAATTGTAGGATATTTCTTCACGTGATAATATCATCAACTTATCGCGTGTATCTGTCCTAATTTACTCTGGGTGTGAGTAAAAGGGAAGTTAGCTTTGAATTGCGAGTGAGGGCTAGGGTAGTACCGGTTGGTTACCTAACGTTAGTGGTCGTCACAGCAGACAGCCTGTGGTTGGGCGTCATAGTGTCTGAGCAATCAAATAGCACAACTCACTTGCAAGACTCCGTAGTGTGAACAGTACAGGTAGTCAGCAGGTTTCCTTATCTCTCTTCGGTTTCCGTCTTCCTTGTAGGCTGTTGTTAGTATTTAATTCAATATGGGAATGACCTGAAGTATCCTTTTCCACCCTAGCGGTACACGGGATTCCAGGGGGTAACTCTTTCCAAGGGTAGTCCATGACGACCTTCTGTCAGCGACAAGAGGAGTTAGGCTGGCTAGGCCCGGAGTGGTTCCCACTAAGCGACTTCCGTGGACGGGCTCCTCTCCTTGGTGTGGCACTGGGGTTCATGTAACCCGGGGGTCCCCATCTGTGACACAAAGGTTGAAACAGGTATGTGTCACAGACAGTGTCGTCGGTGCAAACGGATCACGATGATTCAATCAAGCAAGTACTAACCTGTGGCAGTCGGTGGCGGTGGTCGGCGGTTGTTTAGGCGGCGGATTACGGCGACGGGTGCAAGTAGCGATCAAGTCGAAAGAAAAGTAAAGTGAGAATCGGATAACATTGAAATATAGGATATGAGGGTATTTATATAGGCACACAGGTAACGACACAAATAGAGTAAGGTGGTTTGATGTCCCAGCTTACTCTAATCCTCCAGGGCACTGCCTAAACAGGCAGTGTTAGGGTTAGGGAATGAGCATGGCGAGAGGCCCATGTCTCACACTGGGTGTTCTTGTTGTGGTTTCCCCTTTGACATTTGACTTTAGTTGTCGCGTGTGGATCCTTTTTGGCAGCCAAACTCCTTTCTTCGAGATACCCCAGACTTCATTTGCAGCCCTTGAACGGTCATGAAAACGACTCTTTGAACCGACTGATGCGACGATACATTGCGTTGCTTCAAGCTGTGGTTTTATCCCTGTTATTGGCAGGGGTATGGCTTCATTTCGGCTTTCCGAGACTCCAGGTGGTGGCAGAACTAGAGTCTCCAGTTGTGGAGTCTCGCAGTCAGCTTCTTTTCAAGAACAGGATTCACACGTTTGTCATTGATGATACAGAGTCGTGTCAGGTGCCTCGATGGATCTCTACTAATCACACCACAGGCACTTTGGTGACGATAAAAGAGGGGTGTAAGGCTCCCCCTGGTTGGGATGCCGTTTCTCATAAAGCCAGTACTCCTGTGGTTCTGTCTTTATGGCTGTGTTCTCAGACCAAAAAGTCGCATTGTCTGGTTATCCACAATTCTGGGTCTACTCCTTTTGGAGCCAAAAAAGCCAAGAAGCTCGATCTGGATCCACTTGACCAATTAGTTGAACAGACGGTGGGTTCGACTTTCGACAACAAGCTGGTGTGGAGATGCAACGACAACTTTGCGCAGTCGTGTATGGTGGTTCCTAAAGGAGGAGGTTTCTGTCTGATGGAAAAAGTGCGAGACGAAAAGAAGGCGTCTAGGATTAACAGGAACTGGCCAAAGTACGTGGACCAGTGTCGTCTCAAGGATGAGAGAGTAGACTGGTACGAGGGGTTGTAGAATAGAACAACAATATTAATATGGTTTAATGGCATGAATAGATGTATTTCTGGTGATTTGTGATCCGTATATCTAATGGGTAATTCACTGTAGACTGTGTTTGAAGATCAGTCCTGGGTCAACAGTTATCTTGAGTAGATGACGGATAAATCCTAATTATAAACTTGACTCTAGTTGGACTTCTTCTAAATATCAACAAAGTTTCAAGTACAGGAAAATTGGATCAATTTTTACCCGTCAAAGTGACATAAATCCCCTTTGAGCAATAACCAGAGACAGCAGACTTTTGCACTCTGTTTCATCGTATCCACCGCATGCCATTTACCCTGATACACTTTTTCAAACGACTCAATCGCCCTCGTAATGCCCTCTTTTTGCAATTTCAAAAATCGGGTCACGTGACCCCTCCTTCGGATAGTACAGGGAACGTTTTCCTGAAACCTTACAGCCCGCCTGTTTGGCCAAGTGGCTAAGGCGTCTCACTCGTATGACAATGCGACATGAGAAGAGCACCAGTTCGACTCTGGTAATAGGCATTTATTTTTTGCATTTTTTTGGACCAAACAAACCACATGTGAATATATTTTAAAAATGAAAAAAAAAAAAATACGAAATGGAATCTGATGGTTGTTCAATGGCATCAATTGGGAATGTCTGGGATACTGGCTATTCCTCGTTTACGAAATGCAAACAGATGGTTGATGGATTGCATCTATTACGGACAATGGCTATTTTTCGTTACTACAATTACTGTCTACAAGTACGATACGATACGGTATGCGTTTTGTTTCAAATAAAATATTAATAATTAAGAATGAATGAATGATTACACCTTCTGCTTTCGAGACTTTTTGGGGACTCGGAAAATGTAGTAGAACAAAAAGGCCATGAAAACGTTAAAGGCAGGGTAGGCAAACAGAATACCGTAGTTTCGCCATCGCTGGCTGTACTTGACGTCAATCTGGTCCAGGTAGCCGTTGGTGTTGGAAATGGGACAGTATCCACACATATCTGTGGCCGAAGGGTCCACCAGGTAGCCCATGGGCATATCTGTATGTCCCAGACCCTCGAGGAATGGTTGCAGGTACTTTCCACAGTTTGTTCCCTGAGCAGGCTGGAACTGGACGAGTTCGTTTTCCGTACATTCGACTCTAGTCTCACCAACTCCGGCACTAAGAAGACCAGAAATGAGATAGGTGAGAGGCGAGACTCGGTACATGAAGATCCAGAAGTGGGGCATGTCTTCCTTGGTAGCCAGAACTCCACAGAAAATGAGACAGAGGGCAAAAAGCAGGTATCCGATGGTGGCAGCGTTTTCCTTGTTCTCAAACAGCGCTCCCATCATGTGAGCAAAAGTGGAGTTGTAGACGTAAAAGGTCCACAGCAGCAGGAAGAAGAGAGCTCCTCGTTCTCCGAGGTGTCCGGTAGCGTTGTTCTGGAGACCAATGGGGTAGTAGAAGCAGAAAAAGACGAGAACAGCCACCAGAGTCTGCCAGGGAATCTCAACGAGAATGTTGGAGCCCATAAAGGCCTGCCACGAGTAGGCCATGGAGGATCGTTCTCGGGCCTCGTAGAGTTCTCGCTGGGCCACGAAATGCGGCAGAATCTGGACCATGATGATGACGAAGATGAGGAAGAGCATGAAGAAGGCAAACATCTGGTTCTGGAGGCCCTGGATGTCCTGGGTCGCCTTGAAGTAGGAGAAACCGATGAACAGAGCAGACGCAATGGACATGAGCAGCTTGGACCAGATGTATCGAGGAGAACGCCAGTAGTAGGTCCACAGTCGTTTGGTGAGGTAGTAGAGCTGGGTGGCCTGAGAAGTGGCATACTGGTTGGTGGCAGAGTACGAGGACGAGGTGGTTTGGGTGCTTCCTACACTCTTGGAGGTGACCAGTTCGTTCTTCTCGTCGGTGGCAGTTTGGGCAGCAAGTTCCTCGGCCATAGTGTCCAGCAGTTGACGTTCATTGGCTCTCTCCTGACTCTCGTTCCAGACCACAGCCCAATCGTGTTTAGCCACACTTCCGGGAGCAGCTCCAATAGCAGCCAGCATCCATTCGGCAGGGTTGGCTTCTTCGGGACAGGGATCGGCTCCCTTAGATTCAAAGTAGTTGATGAGAGAAGAAGAGTTGGGGCCAATGTCTCCGTAGTAGACGGTTTTGCCGCCCAGAGTCATGAAGAGAAGCCGGTCGAATTCCTGGAACAAAATAGCAGAGGGCTGGTGAATGGTACACAGAATAGCCTGGCCTCGGTTGGCCAGCTTTTTCAAAAGGCAGATAATGGACCAGGCAGTTTGAGAATCGAGACCAGAGGTGGGTTCATCGAGGAAGAGCAAAAGTTCAGGCTTGGCAGCAAGTTCAACACCAATAGTGAGTCGTTTTCGCTGCTCGACGTTGAGACCTTCTCCGGGGACACCGACAACTGCGTCAGCGTAAGCCTGCATCTCCAGAATATCAATAACTTCGTCCACATAGGCCACCTTCTCAGCCTTGGGGATACTGGAGGGCTGTCTGAGAATAGCAGAAAACTCAAGGGCTTCTCGAACAGTCGAAGTAGCGGTATGCAGATCCTGTTGCTGAACGTATCCGGTTTTTCGCTGGAAAGACGCATCTCGTTTCTGGCCGTTGACTCTCATATCTCCGGTGATGACTCCGGTAGCCTTTCGGTCAGCCAGAACGTCCAGAAGAGTAGTTTTACCAGCTCCAGAACAGCCCATAAGTGCAGTAAGAGTTCCAGGCTTGACCCAGCCGTCCACGTGGTCCAAAAGTCGCTTTTCTCCGCCCTTGACCTTGATATCGTAGCACACGTCCTTCCACTGGAAAATGTCCTTGGGGGTAGAGTCCGAAGGAGTGTAGGAGGCAGTATCTTCCTGTTCCTGCTGAGCGAGAATTTCTCGGTCTTCGGCAGCTCCGACCTTCTCGGCATGAGCCTCCACGTCCATGAGATGGGCTCGCTTTCGCTTCTGTTTAAGAGAAGATCGCAGGAAAACCAAAACCTCGCCCTTGGACTTGGCGGACTGGATGAATTCAACAGCAGTGAGATAAGTGCAGGCGAAAAAGAGAATAAAACCAAAGAGAATACCCAGGTTTCGCCACAGATGCGCCTGCGAGTAGTCAAACGCCATTTCCAGGTATCTGTCTCCGTTCACAAACCGTTCTCCAGGTTTGGCTCCTACTGCCATACAGCCCTGGAAAGGAGAACCCAGCTTGTCGTAGGTGGACTGCTGGGGAATGAAAACGGAACAGGGGAAGTCTCTGTTTCGGAACTCGTTGACCATAACGGCTTCAAATCCGTACGCAATGGGATCGATGTAGTTGATCCATCGAGCCCAGCCTCGCATGTAGCTGATAGGCAGAGTGAAACCGGTGTAGATGATGAGACCGAGAATAATGACAGCAGCGGGAGCCAGAGCCTGTTGTAGAGTCTTGGTGATGGCAGCAATGGTTCGGAAGATCATAGACATGGCCAAAACACACATGAGCGTGAAGAGGAAGAAGATGAAGAAGGGACCTGCTTCTCGTCGTAGGTTGGACATGAAGTAGATGGTCAGATTGACACACAGCATGGTGAGGAACTTGGTGGGAAAGTCGCAAATGATAGACGCTAGAGCTTCACAGAAGGGATGGTACATGGCGTATCTCTGGTGTTTTTCCACAATCGGACGCAGTTCGTAAAGGACAATGATTTCGAGAACAGAAGACATGGCGTTCATAAGCATGGCGAAGAAAAGAAGAGCACCTCTGGAGAAGAAAGACGACGTGTCTTCAGGCATGTTGTAGAACATGGACGAGAGAATCAGAGCAACCACAAAGTTGCCCAGAACGGTAGTCAGAGCCATACTGAGATCTCCTCTGAGTCGCTGGAAACCTCGAGTCAGACACAGCTTGACCTGCATGGGCACGGAAATGGTGTAGGGAGAAGAGACCTTGATATGGTCGCTCTGCATTTCCTTTTTGAGCTCCATGACGTCGTTAACTCGACTTCCGCCAACGGGAAACTCGGTGTTGAACCGCTCCATCTCCTCCTGGAGGTCTGCAAACGCCTGAGACTGTCTCCATCGCTCTGCAAACTCACAGGCTGTTCGAGGAGTCTTGCCCTCAAAGCCAGGAGCCACAATTCGCTCGGCAGCAGAGGTAATGGAGGTCAGAAAGTCGCCAGTAGTCTGTCGGTTGGGACACTTGAAACCCATCTCCTCAAAGTACTGTTTGGCGTGCTGAGAAGGGCCGTAGTAGATCTGCTGGCCCTCGTAGAGAACAGTCACCTTGTCAAACAGATCGTAGGCCTCCTGAGACGCCTGGTAAAGCGACACAAACATGGAGGCTCCGGTAAGTTCGGCAGAGTGACGCAGCCATCGCAAAAACTCGGTAGCTGTAGCAGCATCAAGACCTCGAGTACTGTTGTCCCAGCACTGCAGAGGAGAGCCACACACGATACTTTCGGCGATACTGACTCGTTTTCGCTCTCCTCCAGAAACTCCTCGCACAAAGTCGTTTCCGACCTTGGTGTCGAGAGTTCGGGAAAGTCCGAGAGACGCCATAGTCACATCTCGAGTATGTTTGGCATACTGTTCTCGAGACACTCCATCGAATCGGTTTTGGGGTGTTCGGGCCAGAGCCGCAAACATGAGGGTATCTCCGACCGTGAGATGGGGAAAGTGCACGTCCACCTCGGCGTTGTACACGATTTCGCCCCGGCACGTTTTTTGCATGATTTTCCGCGGAATTCCTGAGTTAGCATGGATAAGAGAAGGAGAATTAAAAGAAAATGAAAATGAAATAAAAAAATAGAAAAAAAAATAGAAAAAAAAAAAAAAGAGTCCTGAAATAGCTGAAAAGTATTCCAGAACTGATTCAGAACTTTTCCAAACTGATGCAGAACTTTTCCAGAACTTTTCCAAGCTGATCCAGTACTGATTCAAAGACTCCTCTAGTCTGAGATAGATAGAATTGAACAAACAAACAGAACTTGATGAGTCTGAATAAGAACCAGAAAAGAACCAGAAAAAGAACCTGCGAAAACAATCTGAAAAAGAACCTGAAAAGAACCTGAAAAATCCAGAAAATCAGAAAATCAGAAAATCAGAAAATCAGAAAATCAGAAAATTAGAAAAATCAGAAAATCCTGAAAACCCTGAAAAAACCTGAAAGAACCAGAAAATAAAACCAAACTGTCACAACAAGCCCTACCCTTGCCCCCATTCTCTACTCACCCTGATAATTCCATTCAGTCTCCTTGTCGAGCTGAAAGCCATAGGTCTCACAAGCGATACTCTTCAACAAAGTAGAACAACCCGAACCAGGTCGTCCAAGAACAACACAAGTCTCTCCGGGCCACAACACTCCGTTAAAGTCGCTGAGAATCTGCACCTTGTCCTCCTTTTTTTCCGCATGGATGAGTTTTCGAACAACTCCCTCCAGCCCAAGAATGGCATTGGCAACTGTCTTCTGGTAGTCAGCTCCTCCACCGTAGCCATAAGCGCCTAGATTTTTGAAACAGACGCCGGCAGTGATCTCCTTGGAGGTGCCGTATCGTCGTT